ACAAACTGAGCCCTCACATACCTGACCCATGAGTAGAGGTTGGTAGTTGGGAAAGTTGAAGTCTGAGAAGGAAAAGGGGGAGACCTGGGTCAAGAAGGGTTCCAAAGAAAGGATTTAATTATATTGGAATTAACTCTAAATCATTCAACTGGACTGAAACAAAATTAATTATAAAGCATTTGTTTTGAAGAAACTGAGCCAGAAAAAGCACAATGTTGCCAAATAATATTTAATAATTGTATTAAAAAATTAAAAAAGGACCTTTTGGGACTCTTAGTAGATCATTGAAACCAACTGCTCTTTTGATGAAGTATGTGTCTTTCTCAGATTAAATTACAAGGGCTGTCTCATGTTCTCATGAGATTCTGTAAACCTATATTACACTATTTTTGTAAAAGCAAAATAAAAAGAATTAATTGGTGATCACAGACTTTCTAAGAAAGGGCAGAGCAGGATTTTAATGAGCAGTTACTCAACTGTCTGTTTCACTGCTTTTCCCCAACTTGAGCCTCACGTTTTCTATGGCACTGGGAGAAACTGCTTTTCTTGAACAATTTCACATTTCCTGGCCCTGTTCATGTCTTGTAAGTGATGACGTGTCTTAGAAAATAGAGCAACAGAGAGTGATGGTTCTTGAGTGAGTTGGGAAAAAACACAAGGAAATCTTAACAAAGAGAGAAAGTGATGTGTTTACCTTTTGCTTTGGCTTCAGCCATGTCTAGACACAGCTTTATGTGCTTAATGGTAACCCCAGAGCCTAGGGAAGAGTCATCTCACTCATTAATGCCTCCTTCAGGCATTTGCTTCAAGGAGGCATAAAGCAGTGCCACTAAAACTTCCAAAATCAGGTCTAGCGGGACCTGGCAGCACGATTTTGCCTTCTTGAAAACCAAACCTTGAGCACCACTGATGTATGCTGCCAAATGCATCTAGCCCTGGAACAGGCTGTTCACATGCAGTGCAACTCTCCCTGGAAACTCCATGGGTGTGTATTCACTGCTAACTAATTTCAGGCAATACTTCAATGTTTATGTTGGTTTGATGGATAAAACTTTCTAAGATGTTTTGCGTAGAGAATTCAAATGTAGTCAAAAATGAGAAAAATCTTAATTGGGTTGGACAACTCTATGTTAGATCTCAGGTCCTCACAGCTGTAAGCCTTTTTTCTTTTCAACAGTGTTTCAGTCAAGAAGTGGAATTAATGTTGGATTTATCTTAACATTTCTGATCTTTTTTCTGGCTCCTTTCTTGCCCATTTTGTGACACCCACTGGGAGATAATTGAAGTCCCTCCTGGGAGAGTTTCTGCAGCAAAACTGTTTTCTTTTCAGGCTCCTTATCTGTTTTGCCTCACTTAAAATTGATGGAAATACAGCTGGATGTGTTGGTCAGTTTTTAGCAGGACAATGGGTGACAATGGTGGGCAGGATGGCTGACATGCTTTCTAGTAAAATAGAAATAAGGCTCTCGGATTTTTAGGTATTAGATTTATAATTTTTCTACTGTGTTAGGCAAATTGCCATGCCATAGGTTTCACAAAACATTTCTTGATAATATAGGCTATGAAGGGTGGGCCATTTGTGGAACAACTTGGAGGATGGGAAGATTAACTTCAGACTTCGGGATCTGAGCGTTTTAATGCTCTCCTAACAACTGGTGTGGGACTTAATCCTCACAGACACATTTCTCCCAAGATGTTTCTTCTGTAGGGAAATTTGTACTGTCACTTCCAGGTTTTGGTGGAAGAAAAGCTAGTGCTGAGTGTCCTGACTTTGGCTCTACGTACAGGTGTTAAATCTTTGTCTGAAGTTCAAATCAGAAATTCTCTCTAAAAAGGGATTTGGCAATCTCCCAAGGGTTTTGTAGTTATGTGTTGTGGCAACGTATGATCATAGAATCATTAAGGTTGCACAAAACCTCTAAGATGACTGAGTCCAAGCATTAACCCAATTCTGCCAAGACCACCACAAAACCACGTCCCCAAGCACCACATCTACATGCCTTTTAAATACCTCCAGGAATGGTGAATCCACCATGTTCCTGGGCAGCCTGTTGCAATGCTTCACAACCTTTTAGATAAAAACATTTTCCCTAATATCCGACCTAAACTTCCCCTGGTGAACCTCACGGTCTTAGAAACCTCAAGAAAAGAAGGGCATAACAAGGTGAAAAGGAATGGAAATAAAAATTCATGGCCAGGCTGATAATTGCTGAGTGGCACCTTATGTGTAAGTGCTTAGTCAGTATCCATGACCCTGCTCCTGCTGAACAGTTTAACCCCATCTGGGAAAGGCCATGGATTTACTGGAAACCTACAACAGGCTCTCTCCCTTAATCCCATATAATTTTTTCTTTTTTTTTTTCCTCCACAAATTTAATGTTGTGAATCAGAAATAAATAACTGCAAAATACGTCTGGAAACTGAAGGATCAAATGGAGAAACCTGAGATGATTCTCCAATATGTGGGTCAGATTGGTGGAAATCCTTGCTTTCCAGAGAAACAACAGTGCCCCCCTCTAGGTAGGGAACCTGGGGCTCCTGTCCGGCTTTCTGCCATACAAGACGCAGGGCAAAGAGAATTTTTCAAGGATATTTTAAAAAGCTGTGCTTGCTTAGAAAGCCAGGTAATTCTTGCACATCTCGAACTATCCCAATCACTCATAGCAGGCTTAGATACAGAGCAGATCCCAAATAGGTTCCTCCAGGGAGTGGGGGGCTCTGCTGTGTATGTGTCTGTGCTCCGTACCATCACTACATATCAATTGGTAGAAGTAAATCTGTTACTATGGCCATTTTAATGCCCATAAAGTGGCTACAGAAAGAAAGTAACACCACATCACTGTGGTCTTGTCTTTGAACACATTCTCAAAGATATAATTAAAACCACCAAACTTATTTCAGCCAAAGTTCATAAGTGATGGGTCTGGCATCATGCCGATTGCAGGAAGGCTAATTACACCATAAATTAAACTTTTTTTTTCCTAACCAAACATTATGACCTTTAATAAAATTGTTTTTACAACCAGCTGTCAATAAATCATCCAGGAAAGCTAGTGAGAAATGTTCTGTGAACACTCCACTTCTGTGAATTTCATTAGCTTCAGTTTATTTGATTTTTTTGTGAGCTATGGTGGTTTTTAAATCTCAAATTAAAAGCCCCGAACCATAAAAACTAATTCAAGAACATTAGCATCTTGGTCTCTGAAAATGAGCCTCTCTAATTGCAGAAATTAGTCAAGATTGTATAACGATCAGGACGTCATTAAAAAAAAGAATAGTGAGTAGGCTGTGCTTGGTTCAGCTACAGCAGCTCCAGAAAAGCTTTTTTTGTGTATACCCTTAATGAGAGAAAACTGTCCCTGGTAGACTGATTTGAAAGCACTATGAAAGCCTTTTAACCTAGCAGTTTGATTTCTGAGACACCAGTTTTCTGCCCTTGTTTATTCTCTTAGGCGCATCAGGACTTGAGTTTGGACACGTGTAAGAAGTTTTACTGCGTGTTGTACTGTTGCGTCTGCAGCGGTGAAGTATGAGGTAGTGTCAATAGGCTTTACTTCAGGAGTTCTTTTTGTTTTGCATTCTTAAGGCTCCTGTACTACTTCATGATAATTACAAATATTTGTAGGAAATATACTATACTGCTTGATTTGTGACTTTAAGGTGGACATATTTTAAAGTTAGGCATTTTTATTAGATTAGTACCAGAAAATGAAGCTGTTAACATTCTACTCCTCTGCCTCATAAAGCTCTTCTGAGTAGAAGAGTGGTGTTATTTTGTGTTGTAGAAACATCTAGAAAGCTTTTAAGTTTGAATCTGATAAGACAAGATAGCAATCCTTATTCTCAGCAGAATTGCAGGTTTTCTCACATTTCTGTTTTCCTCCCTATAAGTTTTGGCATGACAATTTCAGGCCCTTCATAACTCTCACCATTCACTTGACTTTCCATAGCTCATTTGTGTGGAATATGTGTTATAAAAATCTGTTACATGTTGCTGAGCCCCACATGGCTTCCATGAGTCCCTGTTTATATGGTTGCTGACATCTCATACAGGTGTCTCTATTCTGCCTTGTGTTGTATATTCAGAAGGTTCCCCAGGAGTTCATCTGTAAAGTGTGTCCACTCCCTCAATAATATATTTTTTTAAGGACACTAAAATGAATACTTAATTGAAAGGAGAAAATGAGATTTTCTAGAACCTATTTTTTATCAGCAAATTTAAAAAATTACCTATTTTCCTGTACTCTCCCTTTTTTTTTCCAGATCTTTTTTTTCTTTTTCTCTATCTCTTGTCACAAGCATTATCTGAACCAAAGGTCTTTTGGCATGTCTATACCAAAAATATGAAAAAATAAGGTGAGGTTTTGAGTCTTTATTCATCATTGCCGGTTTCCTGGGAAGCCTGTCGCTGTTCATGAGAAATTTTGAGACACTCACATCCCTCATTCCATGAGCTCTTCTGAGTCTCAGTCCAAGACATTGATTTCCCTGCTGCATGTTTTCCTCCTCTGGGTCTCACAAATACGTCCATTCACTTATTTCTTGCCATACCTGCATGCACAGTGCCAAAAATAGCCTTTCAAACCCAAACACTATAGTGTTGTCATTCACATTGTTCCCCAGTTTCCAGTCCCACATATACCAGTGTCTAAATGCAGACATATATGTGCACACATTTATCTATGGCATGGTGATGGAAGTGTCAGTTTTTATTATGTGACTTGGTCTTATAATGTGGGTTCCCTTAGCTAGCATATTGTAGCCTTGTTATTTCTGAAGCAAAGAACTTTGTGTTTATTGCTGATATTTTATCTTTAGTGAGACTGTTATTATAGCTATTCTGATGATCTTTAATGTTTTCAGACTGAATTGCAATTTATACAATTTTTTTTTTTTCTGTGGGCATTTATGACATTTTCCCATGCCTGTGTGACATGGAACTGTCACTTAAATGTCTTGGCAAAACAGTTTGAACTACTGCTCCACCCCAATTAAATACTGAAACATGAACTCTGAACTTTACTGTGAGTAAAATAAATCAATTATAAATTAGCAAGAGGTAGGCTACTGATGAGGGTAAGAGAAATCAGAATGTATAAATATCAGTTACTTGAAATCCATGAAACACACACACACACGTCTGCATGTGCACGCACGCATAATGTTAGACTTGATCTGGACTTTTTCCTTCTGGCTTCATTAATCAACTAGCCAGTTAATCTGAAATATTTCACGTCAGCTTCACAGATCTGTTTTATGTATATACATTTTTAAGCTTTTATTTTGTTTGAGGTTTTTTAATATTACTTGGCTTGCCCTTCCATTATTCTTGAACGTTTAAGGTTTGGAAAAAAGTAAATTACAGACCCCCATGGACTGATGTAACACAAGAAGGCAGATGTTTTTCCCTCTTCTCAGGTCACACATTGTTTTTAAACTGAATGCACTGAGTCCAATAAAATGCTTTATACAAAATACCAGTTTCATATAGTAGTAGGCATCTCATTCTGCAGCCATCTTTACTGTATGTGGAAGTCATAGGCACTTTAAACAAAGAGCTCCTATTTAGTTCCTGTTAAGTACTAATTTGAATTGATATAACTTTATCCATGAGGAATATGCATCATAAGTGTCAGAATTGCCTTGGTGAGCATATAAAATTTTCACAAGTTCTTTACCTAGCAGTCTATTAATCTCGCTTTTGATTTATTTATTTATCCTTTTATTTAAATAACAAACAACTGACTTTTGTAAAGATGCCATACTTTTCAGAAAAGATTTTTTCCATATTGACTTAATAGGTAATTCTACAAAGTGAGTACTCTCTTCACACATTTTCACCACGTGTGAAAAGGGAAACCCTGGCAACTGAGAGAAGAGTGTCACTCCTTAGCACTCTTGCTCTGTGATATGACCTGCTTGTTAGGATTTTGTATCAAACTACTGCTGGTTTTGTTTTCTATTTCCTTTTTTTCCCCTTAACCTCTTTAGCATTATCAGGACTACTCTATTCATTATAATTGGGTTTTTCTTATTGTTTGGCTTTGTCTTGCAGCAAGACTCAAAGTTCCTAGAAGAGCCACCATAAACACTAATCATATCAATATAGAGCAATAGAGGCAATAGACCCAGGCTCATCAGAATTGTCCAATTTTAAGGACGTTTCCATGAGATTTTTCCAAGTTTTTGAACTGGTGTCCTTTTATTGCATTTTACTTGTGCAGGATATAAAAGATAAGCATTCCTTCTGTGGATAAATTTTTGGTTGCTGATTATGTACCTGTTACTTTATACATGCTCCACTATTTGGCTTGAATTCTGAAGTGAAAGTAAGAGGCTTTTTAGACTGCTAAAGAGTCCCAGGATTGTGGGAGTACACAGGGAAAGTCAAGATACCAAACACCTGTTTTCACTAAACTTGAGGATGTTGGGTAGGTCAAGAGGAGAGCTGTGGGTTAGCTCATTCCACTGTAAAGCAATGAAAGCCATAAAATATTATGAGCAAAAAGCCACCTGTTTTTGAATTAGTGCTTGCCATCTACCTTTGTGGTTTAAATTGAAAGTTCAGTATCTAGACAGCCTGTGTTCCTTTTGCTCTGACACAGCGTATCAATTTATACAGTGCCTTCCCAATCAGCTCCATCTCAAAGCTCTTTGCAAAACATAAAAGCAGGTGCACATATGCATCCCTTCCTCTCCCAGGCACTGCACTCTAACAGGAAAGCAACTTTTCTGTTAACAAAGCGTAAAAATCAGACAAGTGTCAGAAACTACATTCAATACCAAAGTACTAGAGACAAATTTCAGAAAGATAAATCCATCATGCTGGATGGCTGCAAGACCACACCTTGATTTTCTTCAGGCGCTGTATTCTACAAAAGTAAATGCTTTCCAAACAGCTCTCCTCTGACAGCTTCATAGTCCTTTGTTGAACAGAAAACCTGATGGTCTGTCATATTGGTTTGCTCAGATTTAAAACTTAAGTGTGGAAGAAGAGCCATGAACCTGACAAGTGTGCTCTGTAGTCTGAAGGGGCAAGGTCTCACTATCCCATTATTACCTTGACCAAAAGATAGCTGGCTGAAGGCAAGCAAATCAGCTTTGAGAGAATTTTATCACGACATGCCTCAGGAGGTGGTAGCCTAGGTAGGGTAATGTCAGTGCAGCTGATCTCAGGGACTAAATGCCATACAGGTATTTTTTTTCAGGCTTCAGTGTGTGTCTTTTGACTCTTGTTCTAAAAAATGCTTGCTGTTATTGATCTCAATGATCCCTCTGTGCCTGTTTCTGCTTGTGGCGTGGGCTATTCAGTCTGTTGTATTTGCTTAGTGTGAATGCAGTTCAGAGAACTCTGAAGGATGAGGCTAGTGTGGCCATGTTATGCTCTCAGGAAAAGCTTTTTTCATTAAGTCCGTGGCTTTTAGGATATTTGGAGCAATGTTTTTTGCTGTTATTAATTTACCTATGACACTTAAGTGAGAGTTATGCTCATCCTCCCCTTCCCACACTGTCAATGAAGAGAGAATCCTCGGGGCAGTGATTCAGGTACCACATAGTCTGAAGAATCATTTCTGGAGATGCTTCTTTTCTCTTCATAGACAGCTTTTCTAGCAAGTGTGCAGCAAAGCTCAGGCAAGGGTCCCTTTTAATATTTTGTTGAGAAAGAGATGCGAGCGTAAGGCTCTCCATCATCCTGAGTCACATCGGTGCGTCTCTGCCGCTACATCTAATGAAGCCCTAACATCCAGAGGTGCAGCTTTTGTAAGTACTATAAATAGGTAGCACTCTACCATTTTTGGTGCAGATGACAAAGTCTAAAACCACAGCTTACCCCCCAGAGGAGGGCACTGAAAATACAGGTCTGTGAAGGTGTCCTAGTTACAGGGGCTGGGACCGGTTTATCACTATTTGAGTATAACCAAAACTCTGTATTCTACACCCTCTATGTAATTTCTGGTGGACTGTTTGCAGCAGCTCCCCAGGGCACACCTGACACCTCAAGCTACAAACTGGGTGTTAAAGAAACCCTATGAAGCAGGGGAGTGTTCTTTTGTTTTCACACCAATGGCTCCCCTCTGGAAAGGCATTAACACCTTCACACCCAGCCTGAGGGGTCATTGCTGCTAATGGGCCACAATGGACTGGCATAATAGGCAGCCGTAACACCCAGACCATCAAAAGATTCCAAAAATATCCCATGACTCACAGAGTTAGATCACCCATTGTGAAACTCCCAGCCCTGGGGGAGGTACTAGGCATTCCCACCTGAATTTGAGCATATATAAAGTTCGGGTTTGGGGATTTCTGGTACCACTTGTTGGATCCAGAGGAGGACCAGAACTTCAACAGGACTGCAACTGCTACTCTTGGCAAGACTGCAATCGTTACTTCAACAGGACTGTGATCATCATCTGGACCAACAGCTTTTTCTTTTGTTTTATTTTGCACCCAGGGGGACTCTGTGGTGCTCAGCACAGGGGCTGGCAAACATTGTTCTGTTCTTGTCCCAGGGTGTTGGGTTATACATCTGTCTTTGGGGGTTAAAATCAGTTTTCTCTGTATAATTTTATTTATTGTAGTCTTTTTAGTAGATTGTAACTCTGACTTGTAATCTCTTGAGTTGGGTTCATTTCTCCTGCTGGTTTACTTTTAAACCAGCACAGAAGAATGCAGGTTTCTGCAGTGGTTCATGTGCTCCCTGGCAGAGGTTGTTGTGAACAGGCTGATTGTTCAGCCCCACAAGAAAGTTTGCACATAGTGTACAAGGTTCTTGTCACTCACCTTCTGTTGGATGTGAGAAAGGAGCTTTATCTGTAGTAAGGAAAAAAATTATGCAATATGGTACGTTGGGCGCAAGGAATAGCCATATGCAGTTCAGGCTTGTTCTATGTCATCTTTACAGTTAACACACATTTGGCAAGCAGTACAAAATGCCCAGGAGAAATTCAGCTTGCCTGTGTTTCAATGGGTAGATATTTCCACATTTCTCTGTGGTTTTGTTTGTATAAAAAAATATTGTCCAAAGCAAAATATTCCTTCAGATAATGCTATAAATTTTAGTCTAGCTCTGATTCTTATTTGTTAGCTCTGGCTTATTTAAACTCCTGGATCAAGTAAGACAAGTTTAGTTTTGCAAGCAAAGGAAACAAAAAGTAATGGCTAAGAATGTTAGAAAAATGGAAACAAGTCATCTGAGTCTCCACAAGAACTACACACAGATTAACTGATGGATTTTAATGCCAGTATTTCAAAGTTAGCTTGTATGACTTTTATTAGAAAAACTTTAGAAAACCCTTAAAAAATTGTTAAAAGATTAATGAAGTGGCTATTTGATTTAGTATTCATACAGGCTGCTATTTACCAAAAGAAAAACCTCATATTCTGCCCTGCATACTCCAAATCCACTTCCTCAGTTTCTGAGCTCGTGCTATCAACCATTTCTAAAGCGCTGTGGTAGCACCATTAATAATCCTTTTGATATTCTTTTCTCTAATAAACATAAATCATCGACAACTCATTTGGTATTAGCATGGATGCCATAAGTCTTTCTGTGGTATTCCATCCCTTTATAGAAACAGTCAGTTATGTGGATCTGACTAAAATTCAAACAACAACACTGCTGTGGATGAAAACTTGAAGGAATCTCATTTTATGTTATGAATATGGGTGCTGCTAGATTGTCTAGATTGTGGCAAGTGAGACCATGAGGGAGACACAAAACTGATTCCTGCCTCCTCTGAGCTTGGAGAGGGCTCGCTGTAGCATCCAAGGAACCTAGTGGGGCTCCAGGTGTCAGGCCCAGGGTGCAAGCCCTCCTGCACACAAAGGCAAGTCCAGCCTAGCTGGTCCTGTTGTTTTGCTTGTCTCAGCACAAAGTTCTGGGCAGTGGAGAGCTGGGAAGTGTCAGCAGGCAGTCACTGCTGCCTTTTGGCTACTCAAGTCAGCAGTGGCAAAGGTGTCTGCCATCACAGATGGAGGTGCTGGCCACAGAGCTGGGCTGCTGCTGTCAGGTCTTTTTTTCTTG